GTTGAATGCTCTGTACACATCTATGAGATCCATTTGGCTTATTGTGTTGTTTAGTTCTTCTGTGTCTTTGTCAAGTTTCTTTCTGGTTGTTCTATCCATTTTTGAAAAGCGGTGTATTAAAACGTGCTCACTATTATTGTAAATTTGTCTATTTCTTTCTTCAAATCTATTAGAGTTTGCTTTATATATTTTGGAGCTCTTTCATTGGAAGCATTAGATATTTATTATGGTTATGTCATCTTGTTCAATTGCCCCTTTAATCATGAGATAATGTCCATCTTTATCTATTAATGCTGATTTTTACCTTAAAGCCTTCAAACTTTTTGAGTATTCCTGCCTATGTGGTTCCAAGTTTTGGAGCTCTGCCCTGAATCTGCTTTGCAGGTATTCTGTGGTATTGCTGATGGCGAACCTCACTGCGTCTTCACCCTAGCTGCCATCAAGCCCCATCTCCACAACTTGAATTATTTAGCCAACAACTTATGAAGTTTTCTTCCCAAGATAGATTGTTGTTTTTATTGTTAAGTGTCGTCGAGTCAGTTCTGACCCATTGTGACCCTGCATATGATTTCCAAGGAACGGCTGATAATCTGGAGCCACTGACCTTGTGGTTCAACCCAACTTTGCAGTCCAGCACATTAGCCTACAGCACCACACCAGGACTCCGAGATAGATAGATAGATACTTTTAAAGAATACTATTGATGCTTATCTTTTTAGGTTGATATAATAAAGCAAGAAAAGACCCTTAATCATAGAGTCTCAGCAGGAAAGAAATCATAAATATTAAACTATGCTTTTCTGCCCAGCCCCTCCCCACCTCATACCCACCCACCCCCACCCCCACACACATTCTTCCACATCTTCTTGCAGGCAAATCAACATTTAAATCTTCCACTAGATATGTTAGCCAGATATTAGTTGACTCTCTTTTTCGGGGAGTCTACCATTGGTATAGAACTTATTACACCCCCTGACACTCTTTTTCCAGGCAGTCTCTTCTGTCTCATACAAAACTTGCCACTCTTTCAGTTTTCCTTGTATTGAACCAAAACACATTCTCTGAAACACATACCCAGTGGTCACAGTTTGACTTTTGAACCACATAGAATGAATCTAAATAATCCTCAGAAAATTCTCTGTTTTTAAAATCATTGTTACTTCATTTGTTTGTCCTGAAACAAGAATGTCCAGAAGACTTGGGACCATAGTCTGGTAGGATCACTCATCCAGTTGGTACAACATAGTTCATAAGGCAGTTTTCTAAATCTTAGTTTGGTGAGTAATATCTGAGGTCTTAAGAGCTTGCATGTGGCCATCTAAGAGACAGTCCTTGGTGTTTACTTATCCAGAACAAAAAAGTATGATGGAGATCAAAGAAGAAGCTGGTCTACAAGACTGACAGCCCATAGGAACCATGGGCTCATCGACTCAGAGACCAGAACTAGATGGTGCCCGCTACTACTACCAACTATTCCTCCAGGAACACACACGAAGCTCGGGATAGAAAGGCAGAAAAATATAAAACTAAACTGAAATTCTAAAAAATGACCCGACTTAACTGGAATAATTCAAAACTAGAGGGACCCCAAAAACCATTGCCCTAAAATGCCCTTTGAACCCAGCACTAAACTTCTCCCAGTGGCCCCCTTTCATCCAAATTATAAATTGTTATAAAATAAACAATATAATAAACAATATTACCTTTGAATGCTGTCCTCCCTTAAATAACCAATCATATGCTACCAAATGGAGTCCCTGTGTGGCGCTGTAGCATAAGCTCTGGACTGCAAGGTTGATTTGAACTGCAAGGTTAGTAGTGCAAACTCTCCAACTCCTTGGAGACCCTATACAGTGTCACTATGAGTCAGAACTGACTCGACGGCACTTAACAACAAAACAATATACTACCAAATGGTGACATTTTCCCTAAAACAAATGGGAAGCTAAAGAGGGACAGAACAAAAACATGGGAATAGTGAGAATATTGACACATTATAAAATAATTTAACAACCAGTGTCATGGAACAAGTGTAGGAATCGTTTAATAACAATTTAACTTGCCGTGTAAACTTTTACCTAAAACAATAAAATCCTAAAAGAAAAAAAAAAAAGAATCTTGTGAGATGAATCTGTGACATTAACTGTCATTTGGGTGAGAACTCTGTGTCGTATTTGACAAATGATGATTTCACAGCCATCGAGTCAGATCTGGTTCACGTTGTCATTGTTAAGTCCCGTGAAGTCAGTCCCAATTCATAATGACCCTGAAGAGAGTTTCTGAGGTTGTAATTCACAGAGCAGACAGCCTCTTCATGTTTCTCCCATGGAGCAGTGGGCCGGCTCGAATTGCTGACCTTGTGGTTCCCAGTCCAGTGCTTGTCATGTGGAGCCACCAGGGCTCCTTGTGACATCATATAGGGAAATCTAAAATGAAAATATTCAGTGTATTTCTTTAAAGTGGTGGCATTGTGTTGGTGTGCGTTGTTGTCTGCTGGGAGCATCAGAGTCAAGGAGCTTTGTGATATACCCCTGTATTGACTTCCTGTCTGCAGTGGTGAATTAGAGTAGCCAAAGGCAGCCTTCTTTCCATAGAACTCTAGCATGCCCATTTCTAACTCTGGAGCTTAATATTTTTGAGGTGTACTTCAGAAAGTTTCCACTAGTCTCTGAACTTGTCATTATACTGTGAGACCTGTGAGAGCTGGAACTCAATGTGTCGGCCTTGTTTTTCCAGGTCTTACAGGTTCCCCCACCACTCAAGACTTTGTGTCACTTTCTATTAGTGGAAAATATGGAAGGTTTCTTCTCTGACAGGTTTCCGTTTTTCGTGAGTTCCGGCCTCTGCAGACTTTACTGTGTTAAGTGGCCAATGGATTGTCACCAATAGTGTTTTTCTACTGTAATTAGAAATACAGCTTTTGTCACTGTACTTGGGGAGCTTCCAAAAGCTCGTGGGAAAATTCCATCCTCTTTTAATTCCATTTTCCATAAACTTTTTGGTGCTCCTTGTGCATGGTCAATGAAATATCACAGATCACATTTTTCTAATTTAATAAGAAATACGTATCTGATCACTATTTCCTGTCCATGTACTGCACAGGCCTTCCAGCGGGAGATCGCTCTGAACCACAACAAGATTGAGCAGATAATAGCCCAAGGCGAGCAGCTGATAGAAAAAAGTGAGCCCCTGGACGCAGCTGTCATTGAGGAAGAACTGGATGAACTCAGACGCTATTGTCAGGAGGTCTTTGGGCGCGTGGAAAGATACCATAAAAAATTGATTCGCCTGCCCGTACGTAATATTTGCTTGCTTCAGATTAATTCTCTGTGGATGGGGTAGCATTGTACAGTGGGTAAGAGTCCAGATTCCAGAGACTGGTACCTGAGTTCAAGTCCTAGCATCTCACACTTACGGGTTTTGGAACTGCTTATGAACAGGTTCCTTCATCTCTCCTGACCCAGTTACTTAAAGCAGGATTAATATGAACCATTTGCCATCTAGTCAAGGCCAGCTCACGGCGGCCCCACATGTGTCAGCATAGGACGGTGCTCCTTAGGGTTTTACTGGATGATTTGAGGGGAGTAGAATTAAAAATGTGAAGAACTGTGAAGAGTACTTGGCACCTCTCTTTTACTGAAGATCAGGAAGCAAGAAGATGAATGTGAGTAATGTAAAGAGTTCATCAGTGCGATTATATTTAGGTGAAATTTTTTCCCTTCCATTTCTCTAATTGCTACCAGCATGACAGAAGAATTGGAATTTTCTGTGATGCAGAATTTCCTTTGTATCTTGATTTAAGATACAAAGTTAGAAGGACTTTACTGGGTAGTGCCAAGGTTAACACACTTAGCTGCTAACCAAAACGTTGGAAGGTTGGGGCCATCTCGAGATTCCTCTGAAATGAAGGCTTGGCAATCTGCTTCTGAAAAGCCAGTCATTGAAAACCTTACGAAGCACGGTTCTATTCGGACATACATATGAGTGAGAGTTAACTTGACAGAAACTGATTTAAGGTTTTATTCATAGTTTCCTTTTATTCCTGCTATGTGCCATCATGTACAAGAGAAATACAGTGCTTGTCATTGTACATGGGGAGCTTCCAAAAGCTCATGGGAAAATTCCATTCTCTTTTAATTCCATTTCCCATGAACTTTTTGGTGCTCCTTGTGCATGGTCAATGAGATATCACAGCTTGCATTTTTCTAACTTAATAAGAAATACCATCTCATCACTCTTTCCTGCCTGTGGACTGCACAGGCCTTCCAATGCGAGATCACACTGAACTACAACAAGATTGAGCCCATAACAGGCCAAGGTGCACCGCTGAGACAGGCCTGGCCTTATGTGACTTTGTTTACCTTAGTTTATTGAATCTTGCATCAATTCAACATCAGAATGAAGCTTTCAATCGTAAAGCTTATAAAGATTAATTGACAATAAATGTTAAAAAGTGATCAGAAGATGCCTAGTTGGTTTGTAAGCTGAAATTTGTTAAGGTCCCCACCTAGATAGGCATGGTGCCCAGATAAGTCTGCTCACAGAGGTCTGGGGGGAAGAAGAACATCCAGTGGCCACTGAAGTAATGGCTGGCTTGAACTGCTTCCTAGCTACCGGATGATGAGCATGACCTTTCTGACCGAGAACTGGAGCTCGATGACTCGGCGGCTCTCTCTGACCTCCACTGGCACCAAGCCTCTGCAGACAGTGTCCTCTCCCCCCAGCCCTCCTCCAACCCCTCCCTCTCCCTGGCCCAGCCCCTCCGGAGCGAGCGGTCGGGACGAGACACCCCAGCCAGCGTGGACTCCATCCCCTTGGAGTGGGACCATGACTATGACCTCAGTCGTGACCTGGAGTCTGCCGTGTCCAGGACCCTGCATTCAGAGGATGAAGAGGGCCAAGAAGACAAAGATTTCTACCTCAGTGGAGCTGTGGACCTATCAGGTAGGAGCGAGCTCGCCCTCAATGGTGCCTCAAAGGAGAATGAGCAGAAATTCATGTTATACTAGAAACATGTAGATTGTCTATTATCATTTTTCTTTTTTTTAGGCTTCTCCCATCAGGGACTAATTGAACATTAATGTGCTTATCAAATATAAAAATTGCCATGGCCACTGCTGTATCCCATATGCTCCTGCTGTGTGGTAAACACTTTGCTAAGGACTGGGGGTACACAGTTGCTTCTATTTATAAAGAGTTTGCACTCTGGCATTAAACACAGACAAACAAGAAACTGTTGAAGGAGTTGACATGGGCTAAGGATGGACTCACGGTGGCACAGGTGGGCAGTCACGGGGCAGCTAACCTGGGGCTTTGAGGAAAGGCTTCAGGGAGGAAACTCAGGCAGAGACTCAAGGATGAATAGATGTTGGTCAGATGCAGAGAGATGGGAGAGGGACACCCATCCCAGCTTGGGATTAGAGTCTGCCAAGGGAAACAGCAAGGACCCAAACCCAAGAGACTCACAGAGAAGGGATAGGCAGAAAAGAAGCACGCAAGAAGCAAGGTGAGTAGAAATAGAACAGAGAATTTGAGACCGATTTGTGGTCCGTGTAAATGCATCCCATCCCCTACATTCTCTGAAAGGACAGCCATGAGTATGATTACATGATGAAATAATAATAATTTTGACCTGTCCATTGCATAAACTATAGTCGTAAAAATAGTCTCATTTCTTTCTTGTTTCTTTTTTAATGTGCCTGTTGGCTGTTTGAACCTTTGGAGTTATGTGGTTATTGTTGTTGTTAAGTGCTATAGAGTCAGTTCCAGCTCATAGCAACCCTGTATAGGGTTTCTGAGGAGCGGCTGGTGAATTTGAACTGCTGACCTTTTGGTCGCGTACTTATTCTACAAGCCAAACCAGAACTCATATTTAGGAGTACATGAATGACTCATATTTTTCTTGGACAGAACTGCTCTAAAATATGATCGGATTCAAATCTCAGTTCTGCCACTTACCACCTGTTGAATTTTGGATAAGTAACTCAATCCCTCTACCTATAAGATGGGAGTCACAAGCCAGAAAACCTCCCGGGGTGTCTGCAGCTATTCAAGCAGTGAGTGTAGAGTGCCTAGCGCCGCCTGGCAAGCATAGTGATTCATTGCAGGAAATGTTAGGGAACGGGCTTGCACTCCTCCTACCTCTGAGGAACCTTCTGTCTAGTTCAGAGTCACTAACGGCCCTTTCTTCCATAGGAAAGCTATGTACCTGCCACCAGGGAATCGAGGGTCCCAGAACTTAGCTGTCAACTCAGACTGTGCTCTTTTTTGCAGATGTAGTGATCCCTGAAAGTCCCGAGGCCTTTGTAAAACTCACAGAAAATGCCATCAGAAATACCTCTGGTAGGCACCTTGAGGCGGAGCCAGCTGCCCTCCCTCACCCATAACCAGCCTCCTCTCTCCTCAGCACACCTGCAGTCTTCTCACAGCTTTGCGGCACAAGCATGTTGAGGCCAACTTCCTCTCTTACTGCTTGACTAAGGGTGGGGGGAGAGCAAAAGTTAGCTGATCAGTCCCAAGAATACCATTTCAGTCAAGTGACATGAAATAACCTCTCAGCTTGTGTAGTGGGATGTAGTCTTCTGAGGTATAAGTAAACCAGCGAGGATCCAGGGACCACAGGAAATAAGAACCAAAACACGCTCTTCAGCTCACGTGAGCTGGAGCTGTTTGGTGGGGGCGGTACTGATGTCATGGCATGATAGTGGAATTATTGCAGGTGGGGGCGTGGCCAAGGTGCAGCCTCCCTTCTTCCGCAGGATGTCGGACACACCACTTCATCCTTCTAATCTCAGGGGTCACACGTAAATCAAGAGGCAGGACCAGATGTGCAGCCCTAAAGAGATTTTTTATTTTAATTCGATAAGTTGTGAACTTGATGATTTTGATTTAATAAGTCTACTTCCATAGAGTAATTTGACATGAAAAATGCCTCACAATCTCTTGAGGCTTGGATTTCCCTTTGAAGAAAATGATTTCTTACCACAAAGATGACTAAGGGAAACCAGTGTTGTGTTAGACTGAGCTAGAGGGAGTGTGGCTCAGGCCCAGTCATTTGGGGGCGGTTGGAGAATAGGCATGTTCTATGCATCAGGGAATCATTTGTTTACACTCACATTTCTGAAAAAGGAAAGCAAAGGACCGTGAATAGGATAATAACCGTTTGAGTGATTAAGAGTAAAAGATCTCTCCTGGGGGCTCTTAAAAGGCCTTTTTTATAGAGGAAAAAAAAAAAATAGAATAAAGCAAACTAATACTGGTTCTGCCTACACCCTGAGCTAGCTTCATTCTGATCATCAGTGCTCTTGTTCAGTACAAAGTTGGATACAAATATTTAAATACAGAGAAAGAACAAATGGGCCCTTGGTTGGGCTGGATGGTTAATGCCTCTGGCTGCTAACCATGAGGTTAGAGGCTGAAGTCCTCCCACAGGCCTTTGGGAGAAAGGCCTGGTGATGGACTTGTATGGAATCAGCCACAGAAATCCCTGCAGAACACAGTTCTCCTCTGACATACATGGGATTGCCATGAGTTGCAGTTGACTCAACGCCAACTGGAGATGTAGATCCATGTACATATATATCAAAGAGGTATGAAAACTCTGAGAGGAGAAAGAGCCAGGATGTCAATGCTAGGCATAAGGAAATGGTAAAAACTAAAATCTCAACTTGCTCTTGATTTTATTTCAGAGTTTAAATTGTGTTGGTGGGCACCTTTGAGTTCATTGCAACTTATAGCAACCCTTATGTGTTGCAGAGCAGAACTGCCCCATGGGGTTTGTTTTGTTTTCTTTTCTTGTCATCTTTGTAGAAGTAGATTGTCAGATCTTTTTCCTGCAGAGCCACTGGGTGCTGTGAATCACCCACCTTTTGGTCAGTAGCTGAACACTTTACCTTTGAGCCAACAGAGCTGCTTAGATTTCAAAAGCAAACCATTGCTGGTGTGAGATCTTCTGCTATCTCTATCCTGAGTGTGTGTTTTCCTGGTTCTCTTCAAGTCATGGCAGAAGTGAATGAGAATGCAGCCACGAGGGCCTTCTGTGGTTTGGAAAAACGATTGGGCTCATCTCCCCTGCTCTAGTGGTGACTACAGAGAGAGCAAGAAATAACTATCTCCTAGGTATCGGGGAGCAGAGCTTCCATCATTACAACTTGCAGGATTCAGATGATCAGTGGGGGACAGAGAGAAGAGGGTTCAGCCCCACGAGCCTGTTCAGGACAGTAGCTTGCACCGTACGTGGGCACATCCATCCTTGAGGCCTTGGAAATGTCTAACCCGCAGCACATTAGTCCTAACTTTGCTTTAAAATGACACCCACACGCACTCGTCCTCTGCTGCCTTCACGGAAATGTTATCTTCAGCTTCTCCTTGAGAATCACACCCCGAGATGGCTGGTAAAGAGTCCTCTGTTTGCCCCTGCAGGGGATCACAGCACCTTGGAGTCACAGATCCGGCAGCTGGACAAAGCCCTGGCTGACAGTCACTTCGGGATGCAACAAACTGAAAATATCATCCGCAGCAAAACTCCCACGGGGCCGGAGCTAGAAGCCAGCTACAAAGGCTATGTGAGTACCCTAACTATCTCGATTATGATGTGCCCCCAGATCACAGTTCTGTGACATCTTCAGGCGCTATGAAGGCTTTGTGCATTCTCTGGACACCATGCCCCCCTGAGCTCGTGGACGCTGAGGGCCAAAACCAAGCCCTGTTATTAAGTTACCATTTGATGGAGCAATTTGTTTCCAGGACCACTACCTCTTCTCGTGACCCATCTGGTCCTTAACATAGAAACTTTAGGAAGATTTGTTTCATTGAAAACAACAAAAGGTTTTGGACCTTGAAACTCATTAGGCATTTTTCCAAATCTAAGTAATAATTTTTGGACGAAGATTATGTTTTGGAGAAGCACATTTTATAGCTAATGAATTACTGACATGGGATTTTTCAGTTGTTCTTTGTTTTTTTGTTTTCTTTTCTTGTCTGGGTTTATTGGGTCACTTGGTGACCTTTGGAATGTATTTATCTTCTGTTCTTTGTATGCTCAATTTTAGTCTCAAAAAAACAGCGATTCTCATTAACAGGAGGGATGTGGGAAAAGATAGAAAGGAACTAAAAGCTATTGGCAGTACCATTTATGGAGTGATCAGTAAATATATAAAAATCCTCTTAGCTCTGCTGAAGTTACTGAACAAATCATTGTTTCCTCCCCAGGAGCTATCTGTTTTCTAACACACACGCTCAGCAAGAAGACTTCAAAGTAAATCCCTTTCCTGCCTCGGAGCAGAGTTTCTTTTCACATCACAAACACTGTGGAGTAAAAGAAAAGTTGTCTTTGTTAATTGCCTCCAGAATGACTGACTCCTAGCAGAATGAAATGTACCATTCTCAATCATTACTGGGTTTGAAGTTATTGTTGCAAGTAGAGCCATTGGAATTTCATTGGCTAGTTCCAGAAATAGATCCCTTGGCATTTCTTTCTAGTCTGCCTAAGTCTGGAAGCTCCATGGAGACCTGTCCACCATGGGTAACCCTGCCATCCAGCATCACAGCCACATGTAGACCACCGCCGTACAACACATTGATAGGTGGAGGTGCTCCTTGGAAACTTAATTCTCCCTAATTCGCATCACAGCTCCCACTAAGTATGTTTTGAAACTAGAGTTGAGAACTCTTCTAGGTATACAAGGGGACTTCAAAATGTTCATGGAAAAGTGGAAATAAAAAATCATGGAATTTTCCCATGAACTTCTTGATGCTCATGTATGTTTAGGCTAATGTAGCAAAAGTGCAAAAGATTAACCAATCATGAGGGGCCTGGTGGTGTTGTGTTTAAAGCGCTTGGTTGCTAACCAAAAGGTCAGCGGTTCAAACCCACAGCTTTGCAAACTGTTGCTTTAAGTTGGAATCAGCTCAGTGGCAGTGAGTTTGGTTTTCAAAACCAATTATAAGTGATTTTTCTGTCCACTTTAGCCAATTATACCAAGTTGGAGTAAGTGACGCCTGCCCTCTTTAAAGGATATCATGGTTTTTATGGTGCACACATTGCCACTGCTGAAGTTATACTTAACCTCAATCGAAAGTAATCAGAGAAACTTAATAGGATTTGAATTTGTAAAAGGATTTGAAAGATAACTTTATATTCAGTGTCACAGGAGTGCCTTGAAAAAAGCTTATTCGCTTTTCTAACCTGTGATTTCTGTGCATGATATTAAAAATGATTTGGATGCTTTGTCTCGAATGGTAAAATTCAGTCTCTTAATACCAATTTAAATACTTAAAATTTCTCAGAAACCATCTGGCTTTCATCTTGCCGTATGCTTTTAAGTATCTTAACTATTTAATGCAAAACAACCTTCCTGTGAGATCTGCGGTAATACTATTATTTCTGGTGAGATATATTAAAATTGTATTTATGTTACCTGTGGTAATTTGATGGGTTTTCCCTCATTATAGTTGAAAACTGACAAAGATGAAACACGTTGCCAAAGTTTAAATATTGCATTGCCAACTGAGGTCTTGGAGTTTTAAACCCACCTTGATTTAGATTCTGTTTTGATAGCAGATTTAAAAGAAATTTTGAGGACCTTTCTCATACAAAATCCTATTAGCAGAATGTATCTTAAAGGATTGCGTTTTGTATAGATGAATCTGTCATCGGTTTAAAAGCACAGTTGTGCTTTTGTTTTCTTTTACAACTTACTTGTGGAAAGGTATTGGCGTAGTCTCCACAGAGGAGCACAATGCAGTCACTGAGGCTAGTGAACACCTATGACGTTGTTTTTCCCAAGTCTCGTGCACTGGTAACAACTGTGGTCACGGGAACCTGTGTTTGATTTCTGCACAGATGAAGCTACTGGGGGAATGCAGTGGCAGCATAAACTCAGTAAGGAGGCTGGAGCACAAACTCAAGGAGGAAGAAGAGAATTTCCCTGGGTTTGTTAATCTGAACAGTACCGAAACCCAAACGGCAGGTGAGTGAGACTGAAATTCCCTTAGGGTAACCAAGCACTTGAGACGCAAAGGTCAGTGCTTACCCCAGGACAAAGTTCAAAAGGGTTGGGGGAAGGAAGAGGAATAGAAATGGGATCGACAGGGAAGGAGTGGCCTAGATGATGTTGTGTTGTGGACATTGCCGTCAGTGAGCTAAAACCCAAATGGAAAACTGATCTACTCTGGAAACCTTCACCCAATTCACAGGAAAAAAGTTAAAAGGAAGAACATGCAGACAGGGTGAAAGTGAAGGTCTGGAAGTGCTTGGTTTCCCTCTGTGTCTTAGCTCCCTGGTGCTATGTAGCAGAAATCCCACCAAGGGTGGTTGTAAAGAGCAAATGTATGTTCTCACACTTCTGGAGGATAAAAGACCACATCAGGACCTTGACCACGGCAATTTCTTCCTTGTAGGTAGACAAGGTATTCCTTGTCTTGGAAAGAATCCTCCCCTTGCATCTTTCTGCCTTTGTGTGTGTGTGAGAGAGGGTCCATTCTGGTCTTCTTTTATAGCTCAAAAGTTATTAGTTTTTTTTTAAATATCTACCCACACACAGCTATGACCTGAAGTGATTGGATACCTCACATTTGATTACATTATGGAAGGCCATTACATTATGTTGCATAAGGCAATATGCTCTACCCAACACCAACTGATTTAGCCGTGTGGTTTAACTCTGTGAAGAGTTAAACTGGTGATGCAGTGAGTTATGCGTTGAGCTGCTAACCACAGAGTCAGCAGTTTGAATCTACCAGCAGCTCCTTGGGAGAAATATGAGGCTTTCTGCTCCCATAAAGATTTATAGCCTCTGAAACCCTATAGAGCGTCCCTGTGAGTTGGGACCAACTCGACGCCATACAACAAGTACTTCTTGATAGCAGACAGACCTGAGTTTGATTAAATCCTTGGGACCAGAGTCTAGCCATGTGGACACATCAAATTAAGCATTACCTGCTGGCTGGGCTCCCGTGTACTGTGTCCTGAGTGACCTCCAGTGACACCGAGGCAGGTGAACAGCTTGGTGGTGGTCTTTTCTAGTCTCTGTGTTTTCCTGCATTGTCTCCTATGTATGCAGCCAGGCACGTGATCTGTGTGTTCTCAGCATCCTGATATAAACAGGTTCCAAGAATGGGATGATGTGGTCACACGCATTGCAGTTTATAATTTTAGTGAACTCTTTAGAGTATTAAATCCTATGTAACTTTTTATCTCTCACTGCATTTACATTACAAATGCAAACAGCGAAAGCAAAACCCCTCTACTGTTCTCCACAGATGCCAGCCAAAAAGACACTCAGCAGAATTCCTGTTTGCCTTAGAGCTCTTTGAAGTCAGCCTCCAGTGTGTAGAAAACATTTCCTACATGTCTGTGGACAAAACGCCTCACTGCTCTGTGCGTGTCTTGCCAGGTGTGATTGATCGATGGGAGCTCATACAAGCCCAGGCACTAAGCAAGGAGCGGAGGATGAAACAGAACCTCCAGAAATGGCAGCAGTTCAACTCTGACTTGAACAACATCTGGGCCTGGCTGGGAGAGACGGAGGAGGAGCTGGAACAACTGCAGTGCCTGACGCTCAGCACCGACATCCAGACCATCGAGGTCCAGATAAAGAAGCTCAAGGTAGCTGTCCTTTGCCTTTCCCACAGAAACAGTTAACTGCCACACAGAAGGTCTGCACACAGGACACCAGCTAGGTTTACTATCATACCCAAAACCAAAGCACCAGACCAGTTGGTGTCAATTCATTTCCAATGGGTCACAGAGTAGAAGTGCTCATTTGGGCTTTCTTGACTGCAGTCTTTCTGAAAGCAGCTCTCCAGACCTCTCTTCCACAGCTCCTCTAGGTGAGTTCGAGCCACTAACCTTTAGATTAGTGTCCTGGTTATTTATGTCAGCGGTTGAACTAGAGCTATTTGTGCTACCCAAGTGTAACCGTCAAGTGTTACACATTGACAACTACACTGACTGTCAAGAATTTAAAAGAATGCTATTCTGTCCCTTGTTTTGTTAAGTACAGTGGAGTCAGGTCCAACTCATGGTGACCTGTATAGGGTTTCCAAGGAGTGGCTGGTGGGTTTGAACCACCGAGTGTGTGGTTAACAGTCCAGTGCTTATTTTACAGTGCCACACCAGGACTCCATTGTACTCCTTAGCCATCCCAAGTCAGAGTTTTTAATAAAGACACTTTGAAAGCCAGAAAGATGGGCCACCTTCTAGAATGCTGTGCCTATATAAATAATCACCTATGTGCAATATAATGAGTTGCTCTTTAAGAAATGATCTCTTGAGGTTTCACGAACCATCCAGGCCAGTAGGGGACCTGTAAGCTTGTCATCTCCAAGTTTGAATGTGTGTGAGTCTAGGGGCAAGCCTGATGAAATGATTTGGCCTTCTTGAATCGGTAAAGCCTCTAAAACCAATGATGAGAGTGGAAGAAGCAATTTCTACGGTAACAAAAAATAGAAATCAAAAACCATAGTAAAATCTTGGGAGTGGGGACGTTGATGGTTCCGAAGTCGAATTCTTGCCTTCCATGCAGGGGATCCAAGTCTCATTCCATCCAGCAGACCTCATGCACAGCTTCCTCTTATATGAGAGTGCAGACTCCCATGTTGCTATGAGCTGGACAGGTTTCAGCAGAACTTCCAGACTAATAGAGACTAGGAAGAAAGGCTTTGGTGATCTATTTCCAGCAATTAGCCACTAGAAACTCTTTCCGCACTGTTGTGTGTGGTGCCACCGTGTATCTGAAGGAAGGCTTAATAGCAGCTAACAACAACCCCAACAAACTGTGGTAAAACAGCTGCCATTGTATTTGAGTTTCATCTGGGTGGGTAGAGTATGTAAAATAGTGTAGCTGCTGCTGTATACCATAGCGTTGGTTCCTACTCATAACAACCCTATGTGTAACAGAATGAAACACTGTACAAACCTGCGGCATCCTCACAACCATTGCTATGTTTGAGACCATTGTAACAGCCACTGTCTGTCCATCTCATTGAGGGGCTTCCTCTTTTGCACTGACCCTCTAGTGTGCCAGGTACGATGTCTTCCTCCAGGGAATGCTCCCTCCTGATACCATGTCCAATGCCTTGCTGAGTTGATGTCTAGACTAAGGAGCATGCTAGGTATACTTCTTCCAAGACAGATTGGTTCTTCTGGCAATCTATGGGATAGTCAGTGTGCTTCACCAACGCCATCACTCAGGTATATCCGTTCTTCTTTGGTCTTCCTTATTCATTATCCAGCTTTCACAAGCATGTGTTGTTGTTGTTGTTAAGTATCATGGAGTCGGTTCCGAGGTTGTAAATCTTTATGGGATTTACATCTTTCTCCCATGGAACCGCTGGTAGTTTCAAACTGCCAACCTTGAGGTTAGCAGCCCGATTTATAACCACTATGCTACCAGAGCTCGTCTTTTGAAAATACCATAGCTTGGGTCAGGTCCACCTTAGTCCTCAAGGTGACATCTTTGCTTTTTGTCACTCCACCTTAGTCCTCAAGGTGACATCTTTGTTTTTTGTCACTCCACCTTAGTCCTCAAGGTGACATCTTTGCTTTTTGTCACTCTAGAGAGGTTTTTGCAGCAGATTTGCTGCCCAACACCATACGTTGTTTGATTTCTTGACTGCTGTTTCCATAATCTTTGCTTGTGGTTCTAAGTATAATGAAATCTGACACGACTTCAATCTTTTCTCCATTTGTGATGATGTTGCTTATGGGTCTAGTTGTGAATATTTTTGTTTTCTTTGAGTTGAGGTGTAGCCTTTATGGAAAGCTGTAGTCTTTGATCTTCATCAGCAAGTGCTTCAAGTCCTCTTTACTTTCAGCAAGCAAAGTATACAAGATAACTTCCCTTAACTTCCCCAAATCTTAAAACACCGCCTTAGCCCAGCTGCTACAATGCATTGAACTATGGAGGTTTCCTATGGCCTGAGAGCTTGGTTTCCCTTTGGTGGCACTCTTGGTCCTGTGTTCCGTCTGGGGAGTATCAAGATGTGCTCCTCCTTGGAATGTAGCTACCCAGGCTGTTCGGCCTCAGGGGTTAAGTGTACTGTTTTTCTGTTTCTCTGGGTTTAGTGTAGGCTGTTTATTTGGGGGTGATGTTCTTGTGGCTTGCTCCTGGCTATTACGTTGTCTTGTTTTGAAATTCTGCACAGAGAAACAAGTCTCTCCACAAATTCCCACATGGTCACATTTCCTACTGAGTAGTCTCAGTACTGGGCCCACCAATTTTAGGACAAAGCAGTGAATATAGGAAGCACATTTAAAACTATCTAGATTGTAAAATGTAATTTTTTGTGGAGCACCTAAATTACTCCAATTCCTTGCTGAAAAAAGTAGCGTAATGTTGTCATTATAGCCAGATTACTTGAAGAATCGAAGAAGTAAATACAAGATTGTTGTTGTTAACTGCCCTCAAGATGGCTCCAACTCCTGACAACCACAGATACCACAAGGTTAAATGTTGCCCAGACACCCCTACCACTGTGTATTTTAAATGCTTTCCTACCTGCGGAGCTCATCTTTCAACAGGATATTGCACAATATTCTGTTGTGATCCATAGGGTTTTGTTTGCTAATTTTTGGAATTAGAACACCAGGCTTTTTTCTTCCTAGTCTGTAAGTCTGGGAAGTGCTGCTGAAACCCAAGCACTAAGGTGACCTTGTGGATCTCTGAAATACTGGTGACACGTAGCTTCTAGCATCACAGCAACGTGCAAGCCACCACAATACACGTAATTGAAGGATGGTGGTCAGTGAGATTAGGGCAGGATACTGAGACCCAGAAAGTCAGCCCGTCTGCATACCATCCAGCGTCTTTCTACTTAGGTCTTTAATTCAACAGCATCTAACAACTCTAAACACCTTTGTCAAAATGTGGGATTGTAACAATCCTGGTCTGATCTTTTATCTTTGCAGGAGCTGCAGAAAGCTCTGGACCACCGCAAGGCCATCATCCTTTCCATCAACTTGTGCAGCTCCGAGTTCACCCAGGCTGACAGCCAGGAGAGCCGCCATCTGCAGGACCGCCTGTCCAGGATGAACGGGCGCTGGGAGCGTGTGTGCTCCCTGCTGGAGGAGTGGCGGAGTCGGCTTCAGGCTGCGCTGATGCAGTGCCAGGTCCGGGGGGCTTTGGGCCTGTAGTGCTGGGCAGCCCAGCTGGGTTCCCAGCGCAGCTCGCTCTGTGACTTGACAGAACGTAACTACTTGTTAAAGTAGCTGCTGCCAAGTCACTACCAATGCATGGCAACCCACGTGTGTCAGGGTAAACTGTGCTCTAGGAGATTTTCTATGGCTGATTCCACAGAAGTAGACTGACAGGCTGTTCTTACAAGACACAGCTGCATAGAGTCGAACTGATAACCTTTCAGTTAGCAGCCAAGGGCATTGACCATTTGCTCTGCTCAGGGACCCTCTCCCCATTCCAAGTCAGAATTTGAATGGGGTAACTTTGTGCCCAACCCTTTCTTTGACTAGAGTACCAAGGGTAGCCATGACTGAGGGCCCTTGGTACTCTCGACCCCGTCATCTTTTTGACTAAGATGAAACTATCCCCACAAGTTTATCTGAGCCCCACCATTTATTCTTTCATTCATTCCGTAAATATTTACAGAGGATTATGTAGATGGTGGAGTCCTGGTGTGGCTCTGTGGGTTAATGCGCCAGACTGCAAAGCTGTTCGAACTGCAAGGTCGGTGGTTCAAGCTCACCAGCAGCTCCACAGAAACCCTATACAGGGTCGCTATGGGTTGAAATTGACTCTATGCCACTTCACAGCAACAACAAAATGTAGATGTTGTGAAAGCTGGACAATGAATAAGGAAGACTGAAGAATGGATGGATACCTTTGAATTATGGTACTGGTGAAGAACACCAAATATGCCGTAGACTACCAGAGTAATGAACAGATTTGTCTTGAAATAAGTACAACCAGAATGTCCCTTAAAAGCAAGGATAGGAAGACTTTGCCTCTTTCACTTTGGGCATATTGTCAGGAGGGACCAGTCCCCAAAGAAGGACATCATACTTGGTAAAGTGGAGGTTCAGTGAAAAAGAACAAGCTGGACTAACACGGTGGCAGCAAAATGGGTTCAAACCTAACAACTGTGAGGATGGCACAGGATGGGCAGTGTTTTGTTCTGTGGGGCATGGGGTCCTTGTGCGTTGGAATTTACTTGACAGCACATAGTAACGACAACAAGCAGATAGTTCTTAAACATTTATTCAGCCGTCCTTACCATCACTGTTTGCTGGTAGTACACTGTACGTCCATATTGTACTAAGTATTTAGAACACAGCCTGAACTCTGGTTTGGACAGGGAAAACAGGCTACGTAATGAACTTACAGACCTTGAAAATCAGGATCACTGAGGAAAGGCACTTTGACGTGACCGATATCTTTAAGCCATCACTGAAGGGCCTGGGTCTGCAAGAGGCCTAGCAAAAGGAGAAGGATTTGTGTGGTTAAGAGAGTAAGGGGCCAGTGTGAGGAAGTCTCGTTAGTAAGGGAGTCGTGTATGGGAGGGGCTGCGAGAGTTGAGAAAGATAGGAGGATGGTCAGGAACCAGATCACGTGCGGCCTGAAGATCGTGGCCAGGAGTTTGTGTGGCATTGGAACTGCAGTGAGGAACCTTTGAAGAATCTGCAGTCTGCTCTGCAGATTTCTAAGTGCCCTAAGAATTGAAAAAGAAAAAAAAAAAAAAGACAAGAAAACAATTGCCTGCAACTTGATTTTAACTCATCATAACCCCAAATATGTCCGAGTAGAATTGTACCCCAAGAACTTACAATGACTGATTTTTCAGAGGAAGATTTGAAGTCCTTTCTTTTGAGACATTTCTGGGTACAGTCGAACCATCAGCCTTTTGATTACCAGGCAAACATGTTCACCATTTTTACCACGCAGGCATCCCCAAGAGTAACATAGCTCCTGGAAAGCAGGTTTGCCTCCACAGTTACTTCTCGTACTGTGGACAAGATCTTCAGTAAGTGTACCTGGAACGAATGAATGGATAGATGATCATTTAAGAGCACATGGAATGGGGCATAGACCTTAAAGCATGGGAAGATTGGAACACATAGAGAAAAGTGGGCCACAGAACTGCCTCCTTCAGAGCTCTCTTAATCACAGCTTTTCTTTCAAAAAGATTTTATTTTCTTTTAAAAATAAGTCATTTGGTGCCAACTTTGTTTTATGTGTACATTTTCCCCAAGTATAAATTAGATGCTTCTGGTAGGAACAAAGAATTCAGGTAATCACAGCACCACTGATGTCTTCCTTTTGAAGCCAACAGATCTTTGCCAATAGTGGCTTTTGTGGTGTTCTGTTGTTAGGTGCCATTAAGTTGGTTCCAATTCATAGGAGCCCTGTTCCAGAACAGAACAGAACACCTCTAGTCCTGCATTCTCCTCACAGTTGTCGGTGTGTCTGGGTCCATTGGGGCAGCTGTTGTGTCAGTCAGTCCATTTTGTTGAGGGGCTTTCTCTTTTTTGCTGACTGTCTTCCTCACCGAGCATGCTGTCCTTCTCCAGAGACTGGTCCCTCCTAATAACATGTCCAAAGTAAGCAAGACGAAGTCCTGCTTCTAGGAGACATTCTGGCAGACAAATCCGACAGATTGGTTCATTCTGGGGGTCCATGGCATATTCAGCATATCCAGCACCATGATTCAAAGACATCCACTCTTCAGTCTTTCTTATCCATTGTCCAGCTTTTGCTAGTAGCTGTTGTAGAGAACAGAAATGGAATCAAAGCTATTAGGGGAAGCAAAAATTATTATCTAAGATTGTTTTACATTCCCATTGATTTTGTAGGATTTCCATGAACTGAGCCATGGTTTGCTTCTGATGCTGGAGAATATTGACAGAAGGAAAAACGAAATTATCCCTACTGATTCTAACCTGGACACAGAGACACTGCAGGACCATCACAAACAGCTTATGGTAGGATTGGGTCAGAGCTGGTAACTGCTTGTATTTTTTTTTTTTTTCCGGCTCCATGTCACTTACAGTGCGCACAGGTCCTAATCCTTTTTTACTTTGGTGTTATTGTCTCTAGCTGGTGCTTTTAGATATACATAGAGAATGACACTTGATAGCTTCAGATTTTGTCCCAAAGTCCTTACTCAGTATTGAAAGGCTTTGATGTTCTTTATCTCAATGAACTTGTATTTATGGAGGCACATCTTTGGTGAATTTGTTTGTACTGGTTTTTTGTTTGTGTGTGTTTTTTACAGTAGGTTTTAATTTAAACTCTACATTAATTGATACTTTATGTCCCCAAGGCATATTTGATGGCTTATAATAAAAGGACACTGTTTTTTGCTGTTTGTAAGTTGCTGTTGAGTCAGATCTGACTTACGGCAGCTCAGTTTGTGCAGAACAGAAGGGCTCAATGGGTTTGCCAGGCCGGGATCTTTGGGAAGCAGACTGACGGGCCCGTTCTCTGAGACTTCTCTGGGTGGGTTTAAGTCCAGTCTTTTGGCAAGTAGTTTAGCAGGTAAACATATGTACCTCTGAGGGACTCCTAAAGGTTACTAAAAATGATTAGAAAGAGAGATCATTCAGATTGCTTACGAATCATTAAATATAATCCAATTAAACATTAACTTTAGCACCAAGTTTTCTGAAAGGTACGGCTAAAAGGAAATTATGAGTTAATTTCTTTTTTTCTGGCAGAAAGAAGGCATGCCAGTTTTCAGAGTGCAATAAACTGAAATTTACTGTGTAGATTCTTATGCAAGGAGCTTTATACCAATTAATGCATACTTGACTTAACAGTGATTTTATAGAAAATAAGGAAGAATAATTTGAGTTCTATTAGAAGAAAATACTTTGCATTTTTTTACCTTTCTATATTTCTAAAATATTGTTTTTACATTAAACGCTTAACAAACTGACCCTATAGGATTGGTGGTTGTTGGTGTTGTTGTGAAGTGTTGTAGAGTCGGTTCCAACTCATAGCGACCCTTTATAGCATTTCTGAGGAAAGGCAGGTGGGTTTGAACTGCCGACCTTGTGGATCGTAGTCCAGTGTTGATCCTACAGCACCACACAAAGAGTCCAGCAGAATTGGTTGATAACTTATCATTCACTACCATACAAGTCTTAGACACTGAGAGGAAACAGCTATGTAACTGTGTTTTAACTACACTTTTGACCTTAGCAATTAAGCTGGGAACAATGACTCACCTGCGCATCGTTTATAAAATCTTAAATAGATTCAGTGTAACCCTTGAGGTACCTAAGTTTTGATATATTTGCACATCAATGGTTTACTTTTCTATTTGAAAGAATATCTTGGGTCTCATTGGCATAATAATTTGTCATTTGTTTCATCTTTATTCGTCAATTTGAGCCTTCCAGTAATATTTACTGTGTACCAGGCACAGATCCTCGTCACCATTTCCAGGGATGAGAAATCTGAGACTAGAGCAGGTCAGGGACCTAATGGAGTATATTTGGTGGGGACATGATTAGAACACTTGTCCCTGATTCCTGTCTATGAGCTGCTGTAGCCGTCTATGTGTGAGCACCAGGTTCTGAAGATCAGGTATTATTGCCCACTAAATTTCATTTATGTCGTTCTGTACTTCTGGAACATTCTCCAATTCTGAACAAGTCTTACAAAATCAATTTTATCTACATAGCAAATAAGGCATGAGCTGTTGGAGTCGCAACTAAAAGTGGCCTCACTTCAAGACATGTCTTGCCAACTGTTGGTGAATGCTGAGGGGTCAGATTGTCTGGAAGCCAAAGAGAAAGTTCATGTCATTGGAAACCGGCTCAAACTTCTCTTGAAGGAGGTCAGCCGGCACATCAAGGACCTGGAGAAGTTATTAGACATGTCAAGCAGTCAGCAGGTGAGTGCTGAGCAGATGTCATTGGTTAGGGTTTCCTGTTTTTGTTAAATGCTATCAAGTTGGTTCCAACCCATAGTGACCCTGTATAGGGTTTCCAAGGAGTGGCTGGTGAACTTGAACCAATGACCTCACAGTTGAAACTAACCTTGCAGTCCAGCATATTAATCTGCAGTGCCAAGCATTTCCTACACAACACCAAAACAATAGTATTGCCACGTTTTCAAGACTCAAATGGAGTACTGGTCTACTGTGAGCTCAGCTCTTAGAAGTTCTGTCCCAAATTAAAACATTGGATTTGTACATTTTTATGATAGATCACTGCTTCCGATGCTGTTAAATCCAAAGAGCTCTTGTACTTATTGCTGTTAACCCTTTCAATCATCATGTATGGCCATGTATTTCCCTGATTTCTTTAATAATTCATACATTTTCATATGCATAGGACACAACCAATCATTGTATGCGAGTTTTGAAATATCCTTTAAGGTATGGATTCTCCTTACATATATTTAATAATAATTATTCCATAGAAAATTTCCTCTCTTTACTCATGTTATGGAGTCATGGTGTCATGCTGTAGGATAAGCTCAGGACCATGAGGTCAGTTTGAACCCCAAGGTGGACAGTTCAAACTCACCAGTTGCTCCTTGGAAACCTTATACAGGGTCGCTGGGAGTTGGAACCAACTCAAAGATACTTAACAACGACAACAACACTTGTGTCATGTGTTTACTCCTAAATCTACTACTTCATGGTTGTATTTTTTTATTTTAAGAAATGCATTTTGCAAGTATAGAAATGCTTTGTCAGACTTGAGGCATGCAATTATAAAACTCTACAAGTCCTGGTTTGGCATTGTAGGATAAACACTGGACTGTTAACCACAAGGTTGGTGGTTCAAACACACCCGCTGCTCCTTGGAAACCCTATGCAGTGTCTCTATGAGTCAGACCTGATTCAATGGCACTTAAAACAACAATAATCATGAACACACAAGCGTGTAAAAGAGCAATGCACTCTAATCAACAGCAAGACAAGTAGAACACAGTTCATCTAAAATAATAGTAAGAAATTATTGCTGCTTACCAATGAGTCATTTGTTGACTCATAGAACCCCATGTGACAGAGTAGAATTGTCCCATAGAATTTTCTCGAGCTGCTAACCTCGGGGTCAGCAGTTCGAAACTACCAGCGGTTCCGCGGAAGAAAGATGAGGCTTTCTGCTCCCGTAAAGATGTATATAGCCTTGGAAACCCTGTACAGGGTCACTACGTGTTGGAACTGACGGCACTTAACAACAACAACAATACTTACCAAGTCTTTCTCCTGGGAAGCTGCTGGGTAAGGTCAAATGACCGACCTTCCGGTTAGCGGATAAGCACTCAACCGTGGCACCACCAGGACTCCTGTCAGTGGCAAACAACAGCCTCTAGGATGGGTTTCGTTTCTAACTCAAGTGACTCGGTTTCTCAGAGAGAGGCAGGGGCTGTGTGCTGATGACCGGGGGACAGGCTTGCAGGGTATACCCTTAGGTTGGTTGATGGTATATGGTGTGGGGATTGTAACCATGGCAATGAAACAATATCCGATAGGATGAATGTAAAGCTAATGTTCTCCCATGTAAACTATCACATAATTCACAATAAAGCATTAAAAAAAAAAAGTAAGAAAAAAACAACTGACTTGGTTTCTCTCTGTTCTGAGAGACCTGCAGCTGTTCAGTAGTCTCTTCCTTACCTCCTGAGCCCGTAGTAACTCATTGTATCCCTATCACGAAGAAATAATAACAAAGCAAGAACTCTAATTTCCAACATTTACAACCAGGAGTTTATAATAAACTAAAGGAACCAGCTTTCATCATCTTATGGTTGCTGGATCCCATATTTCAAGGAATGGGTTGATTTCTGAAGAGGTGGATGGAGTGGGAAATGTGTATTACAGAGGCTGCCTCGCTCTGGGACCCTTTGGAGTTACAGAAAGAATTCTTACTGAAGGTCTATGTCCCATGCAGGATTTGTCATCCTGGTCCTCTGCTGATGAGCTGGACACGTCAGGATCCATGAGTCCTACGTCAGGAAGGAGTACCCCAAACCGACAGAGAACGGTAACTTTCCTCTGGTCCTTTTGAATTGGCCCATGAGAGGGAGCACGGGAGACATACTGGTGCTGACCACAGAGTCCATGAGCCCCCCCACAGAAGACAGGAGAGGGTGTGAGAGAGTGTAGCACTCCCACGTGCCCTCCCTGCATGCACTCAGGAACAGAAAAGAGTGGTTCTGGGCTGTTGTTTCCCAACCCCCACCCCTTCAAAAAAAAAGAAGCCAGGGCTCAAAGTGTGGTTGGTATGCAGGGAGACCAATTATTCTGATTGTTCTAGAATGATGCTCATGTTGTGTGCCTTTGGTGGCTGCTTCCTTCAAACCATCACTACCTTGTTCACCTAGAGTGTAGCATCCCACTTCATGGAGTGTCTCCACCCAGAGGTGAACCAAAGTGTGATTGTCTTCTGAGACCATTGAGTATAGAAGACAAGTGGAGGTTCTAGTGACTCACAAGCAAAGCCCTCAAAGCTTTCAGCAGCTCAGCTGCCTCCAATGTGGTTAAGTCAAGTCCACGCAAGGCTGATGATGAGGGCTGCCTCACTGGAACACAAGGAAGACCATAGACCAAATTGGCTCCTGCTACCCTCTATGCCTTGATTTCTCTATGTAATTAGAAGCTTGGTTTTTGTTTTACTGATTTATTTTTGTCCTGCTTCATGATTGTATTCATTTGATTATCATTCCATTTTCTTTAGTTTTTAGAAGTATTGATTTTGTTTCTTCTTTTGTCATAAACACTTAAGTTCTATGTTGATAAATGTTATTATCTTTTTTAGAATTTTTTTTACTACATTCACTAGTTTCTTATAGATCCTAGTTTAAGAATGTGAAGGAATACTGGCTTTTTAAACCAAATTTGAAACTATATCTAATCAGAGTATTGAATGTTTAGAAAATGGGGGGAAAATATGAAACAGATCTTTGGAATACATGCTATTGCATAGTGAATGTTACTGTTATTGGAAGTAAATTGAGTAAAGTCAAGTCATTTATGTTTCTACCATGAAAAATTGGGGGAGAAATACATTTACTCAGTATGGTGTGAACTCCAACACCAATATTTATGCTTATAATTTATATAGATGCAAACCTATTTCATTTCTTCAACAACAACCAAAAAAAAAGCCAGTTTCCTTAAGTCATATGTACTGAGGATCATTTCATTTGATTTATTTTTTCTTTGCTGCACTCTTAGTTTAATTTTCATCAGTAGCTTGTCTTGATTTGCCTGGACTGAACATTCTTCTTTCTTTACCCCCTGTTCATTGCAAACAGCCACGAGGCAAATGTAGTCTCTCCCAGCCTGGACCCTCTGTCAACAATCCACATAGCAGGTACCTTATTCTCCTGATCTCCACATTGTTCTAGAATTGCAAGAGGATGATGAAAATTGCCCATGATCTAGGTAGAACCACATCTGGTCTGCCTCTCAGTAGTTAAGGAATGATTTATCCCAATCCACACCACACCCTTCCCTCATAAATTGGAAAGAACTTTTCTACTTCTCAGAGCATAACTTATTTGGAGCCCAACAAATTCGTATTTGAGTCTGCAAAGACAATGTCCCGTCTAATGGTGCCATGTGTGTACCTGAGGATTCTGTGCAGTTGCACACACCATCACTTGGTTCATGGCAGGCTTGATCATCCTCTTTATTTCTAGATTTTACAATAAGACAGGTCATAGACCGATGAATTACTCTATCATTCACAGAACCCACACATCTGAATAAAATCTACTAACATCCCCAGCTTTTTCTTTTCTTTTCCTGTTTTATCCAGATTGTGGGTTTTGGATACTCAAAATGGCAAGTCCCAATTTGGTTTTCTTTCTTCACTGAAAACTTACAAGTGCCTTTCTCTTTGGCTTATCCTAAAATTTCTGTCAGCCAGCACATCCAGGCACTCACTCACCTTCCTAACACTCGGCAAGCATTTCCGCTCTGCGAAGGAGCCCAGTGTCCCCCCTGTCCAGTGGCTCCCGAGGGACACCTGACAGCTACCACTTTGTGTTTACCTCCTGTAGCCGCCCTCATCTCTGCAGCTGAGCTCTTAGCGCTTTGCCTGGTCATCCATCCGTGTGATGTCTGCGCTCCTCTCCTCTCCCCTAATTAGCTCCCACGCCCCAGACAACTTTTCTCAAGTGAACATAGTCTGTCCTCAGAGCTGGTTTTCAACGTTAGTCCCAAGCTGTTCACTGGTGAAGTCCTTTGACCTTCTGGAAGCTTCTCATCACTGAGCAGAAAGTGAAATTCCTGGAAGGAGGGTGGGGGATGAGGATGCCTAGGACTGTAAACAACCCCTGAGTCATCCTTTTCAGTTCCCCAACTGTGTGCTGCACTGGACCAGCTATTTTGTGTGGTTATTCACAGTCAGTTGAAGTAATGCAGAACATATTTTTATGTGCTTTCGGGCTTAAGTCTCCTTTAGCAAAAAAAAAAAAAAAGAGAGAGAGAAAAGTATTCTTTCCATTTGGTTTGATTTGAAGACAAATTGTTTGGGGTTTTCTCCAAGACAAAATATGACTGAAGGAAACTTCACCAGAATTTTTTAAGATAATGATGGACATTCATGGGTGCTTTGACATTTTCTTTGCCTGTTATTTAAAAAAAAAAAAAAAAAAAGATGCTCCTGTACTATAGGTAGATCATATATGTCATCTTCACCCAACAAATTGATGTCCCCTGAATAGCGACAAGGACAATCCCCCTAGCGCCCCTTTAGGATACAAGCAATGGTCATGAAAAGGAGAAAGCCCTTATTTTATTATGCACCACCAAGAGCAACCACTCTTTGGTTCCTAGTGTGGGATGTTGCTTCCTGCCAGATAAGTAAACTCAGGAATATCCCAACTGTCTGTTCCCCAGTGCTCTCAGAGTCTGCGTTCTCACCAGAATGGTTTCTTAGGGGAGCACATGTCTTCTAATTGGGCTTTGCAGCTGAGGCAGCCACATCTTCACTGTGGCTTCCACAAGGCACCTCGCAGCTCTGCTCTGTCCAGCACTGTTGATTAACCTCTTCTGATCATACAGCTCACGGTCCAATATGCTACTCGGGAGGGGAGGGAATACAAGCCCACTTCAACCCAATAGCAAATGTCATGCAGTACCTTGGCATACAGTTTGTGGTTGACCATGCTGGGACTTCTTAACTCCTTGGCACCTCGGGATTACGGGGCTCCCACGTGGACAATGAAACGCAGAGTCTTCTGGGAGAGAGTTAACTTCACCCGCCACATAGCTGTCACGGTGTTCCTTTTTCACTGAGATCTGTAAGTACCTTGGGTTTGATCTTGCACTGGTTCAGCAAGTTGGAATGTTGATTATGAAATCACAAACAGTTTACAATGTTAATCCCTGCAGTCTACAGTGGGAAAGTTGTAGACGTGTGTCCTTCCAGAGAAGGGAAAGAAAGAGGTTGGAAGAAAGTAGGTAGTAGTTTAGTTTGAAGACAGGGATTTCCTCTCTGTGTTTTGTTGTTTAAAGTCAGATATTAATAATATTTGCTTGTCATGCTATGTATTTCCGTTTGGTTTTATGGTTACTGTTCCATATTCTCTTGGATAGCATCCTAATTATATGTATGGTTTGACACCAGGAATTACTGAACATCTATGCTTCAGTAAATCCAGGATTTACTGAACACCTACTATGCATAGGCCTCCAGCAGACACAATTAATATATGACTCCTGCCATTAAAAGATTTGTTTCCTGAATCTATAGGGTATTCCCCAATATTTGAAAACATTGAATACTGTGGGTTTTTTTTAAATTAAAGATTAGACATATTTTGTTGTTCTCTGCTATCGAGTCAGTTCTGAGTCCTAGAAACCCTGTATAGGCTTTCCAAGACCAGCTGATGGATTTCAACTGCTGACCTTGCAGAGACCAGTCCAAGTGCTTGTCCTACAGGTCACGCCAGGGTTCAAACATATTTTAGAAGCAGGCTTTCACAACCACTGCTGCTGAGGGTCATTCCTGCTGGTTCTTTTTCCTATTTCTGTCGTCAGAAGTTTCTCACTAAGAACTCTGCTTGAAGTTGACAACTGGCAAGAGTTTACTCCAATTTCTACCAAGGGCAAAAGAACAATTGATTTGTAGTCTAGATGGAGTAAGTGGATGTCTTCCTTCTGAATCTTAGAAGTGTAAAATGCAGACTCGCCCTGGACATCTTTGTTCTCTGGCAGAAGAGCTAAGATGGAAGGAGAGGTGGCAGGTAACAGGCTCCTGGGCTGTTGCTGTGAGAAAAGCTGTCGATACCAACAGACGCTCAAGAAATCCAATCTGGACTCATTTTAGCGAGAGTGAGGTTTTCTTTATTCGATTTTGCAAAATCAGGTGCTCAACCCTGTAGACAAGGGCAGACCCTGGTCTGTCCACAATTTTTGAGACCCCTGTTTCAAAAAAGCCCCTCCTCCAGACCCACTTCCCCATTTACAGTTCTACCCAGCATGTCCTGTTTTCCCTCCTCCCAGAGAAGCCAAAGGCTTGACCATGGTCTTAATAGCTGTATTCTTATTTAAATTCCTAGTCCTAGAACAGATTTCTTTCCTCCTTTCCCCCAATTCATCCTGGATATGAATCAACAATCTATGTCTGGCTGGTCTAGCAATCTCAGGAGTCCTTATTCCTGAAATGGATCATCTTGTCTCACACTGCGAGGGAGGAGGGGTAGGACAATCAGTGCAGAGCATCCAGATATACTGAAGCAAGTGTGGTGAATGTTCAGGCTTGACTCTGTTTGGGTTTGGGTTTGTCCATACACTGGGAAACCCCCAAAGCATTATTCCGGTCTTTTCTGTCTGATTCCACCCTGGGGATCTATATTTTTGAAGCTCTCAAGAGTCACTGTATAAAGTACCTGTCCACTGAGGGCAGCTTTAATGTAGAGCCTCCCATAGATCCTCCTCTGCTGCCTTTTTGAGGTTCGCATTCCTAGTGAATAGCCCAGGAAATCCATTCATCTTTCAAAGCTCTATTAGTGAATGAGGGACATTTCCCTGAGAGAAAAGGCTGAATCCAGCCAAACCCCCAAGGAGGCTTGAGTGTGCACACCACAGCCAGCCCAGTAATACTGATCAGAATGCTAAGTGTTGTTATTAAGTGCTGTTGAGTCGATTCCGACCCATAGCGACCCTGTATAGGGTTTTCGAGGATCACCTGGTGAGCTTGAACTGCCAACCGTGCAGTTCAAACAGCTTTGCAGTCTGGGGCATTAACCCACAGCACCACACCAGGACTCCAAAATGCAAAGTGAGTGCTGACATTCATTTCAGTCTTAATTATCCCTAAAGCATCCTGCTAAGCATTGTCCTGGGTTGGCACTGTAGGATAAGCACTGGACTCCATGGCTACATTGAAACACCAGTTCAGTTCAGCGGTTCCAACTCACCAGCCGCTTCTCAGAAACTCTACGCAGGGTCACCATGAGTCAAAACTGACTCAATGGCACTTAACAACTGTGACAATAGCAAGCATTGTCTATTTACCTCATTTAACTTTCATGACAATCTCATGACATCTTTGTTTTATAAAAAAAGACACTGGGGCTTCTGAGACTTTAAGTCTTTGAGGGAGCAGAACTCCTCATCATTCTCTCACAGAGTGCATGCTGGGTTTAAACCACTGATCTTGTGGTTCACAGTCCAGTGCTTATCATAGAGTAATGTAACTTTCCCAAAATTTGTCAGTGGAGCCCAGGTCTTAGCTGGCTGGATCCTAGTTTGTTCTCCTGTCCACTTAACTGAGGGCTATTGGTGGGTCCTGGTGCGGCAGTGTCGGTTTGAACCACAAGGTCGGTGGTTCAAATCCACCAGCCACTCCTTGGAAGATGTTTACAGGTTCTCTATGAGACGGAACTGGAGGGCACTAATCTACAACAATAACCATGGGTGGGTTTAGGCCCAGTTGTTGTCAAGCCACTTCCAACTCCTGGCAGCCCCATATATATTGATATAGGGGAGTAAAGAGACCCCATTGTCAAAGATACAAATATTTAATGGTTCTTTATTAAATCATAAACATAAAACAAGGACAAAAATAGATCACCTGGCTGAGGGAAATCATAGGAACCATGATGAGTTTCCAAAGTTCTGTCTCCATGTGGTGACCTTTTCCAGAGAACAATGGAATCTCCCCCCACAACCAGGCCTAATGGCAGGAGCCATATGTACATCACACTCACACCCAGCAGGGTCTAAGGAAGGCAAGAGGGGGCCACTGCAGACAGGAAAGTTTACAGTCTCTCAGACTAGGCCACCATGAAGGGGTGTGTCTAGGAATGTTCCTGAGAGGAAAGTGGCCCCAAACCCACTTTTGAACACACTGTTTCTATC